AAAAAAAAAAAAAAAAATCCCCCCCCCCAAATTTTTTGAACCCCCTTATGATTCATCACCCCCAAACTCAATCCCAGCCTTCCCTTTGTGGTATGGTACCTTGCAGTACAATTTTAGAGAGATCCATACACTTGAACACAAGTTATTGTCTGGAAACTAGAAAAATGCTTATTTTTGGCCCCTTTTTGGCCCCCAATTCCTAAACCTTTCGGGCAATTACCCCCAAACTCAATTCCAGCTTTCCCTTTGTGATATGGAACCTTGTAGTACAATTTCAGAAATATCCAAACACTTACACACAAGTTATTGTCATGAAACTAGAAAAATGCTTGTTTTTTGCCCCTTTTTTGGCCCCTAATTCCTAAAATTTTGAGGCAATTACCCCCAAAATCAATTACAGCCTTCCCTTTGTGATATGGAACCTTGTGGTACAATGTCAGAGAGATCCATACACTTACACACAAGTTATTGTCTGGAAGTTACAAAAATGCTTATTTTTGGCCCCTTTTTGGCCCCTAATTCCTTAACTGTTGGTACCATAACCCCCAAAATCAATCCCAACCTTCCTTTCGTGGTATTGAACCTTATGGTAAAATTTCATGGAGATCCATTCACTTAAACTAAAGTTAGAGTGCGAAAACCAATGTGTCTTCGGACGACGCCGGACGACGCCAGACGACGACGACGACGACAACGACGACGACGACGACGCCAACGTCATACCAATATACGACCAAAAAATTTTCAATTTTTGCGGTCGTATAAAAACTGCATTTTACCCCTATGTTTTATTTTTAGCTGTGGCGGCCATCTTGGTTGGTTGGCCGGGTCACGCCACACATTTTTTAAACTAGATACCCCAGTGATGATTGTGGCCAAGTTTGGTTTAATTTGGCCCAGTTGTTTCAGAGGAGAAGATTTTTGTAAAAGATTACTAAGATTTACGAAAAATGGTTAAAAATTGACTATAAAGGGCAATTACTCCTAAAGGGGTCAACTGACCATTTCGGTTATATTGACTTATTTGTAAATCTTACTTTGCTGAACATTATTGCTGTTTACAGTTTATCTCTATCTATAATAATATTCAAGATAATAACCAAAAACAGCAAAATTTCCTTAAAATTACCAATTCAGGGGCAGCAACCCAATAACGGGTTGTCCGATTCATCTGAAAATTTCAGGGCCGATAGATCTTGACCTGATGAACAATTTTACCCCATGTCAGATTTGCTCTTAATGCTTTGGTTTTAGAGTTATAAGCTAAAAACTGCATTTTACCCCTATGTTCTATTTTTAGCCGTGGCGGCCATCTTGGTTGGTTGACCGGGTCACGCCACACATTTTTAAAACTAGATACCCCAATGATGATTGTGGCCAAGTTTGGTTAAATTTGGCCCAGTAGTTTCAGAGGAGAAGATTTTTGTAAAAGTTTACGGACGACGGACGACGGACGACGGACGACGGACGCAAAGTGATGAGAAAAGCTCACTTGACCTTTCAGGTCAGGTGAGCTAAAAATGTGTTTTTTGGCCCCTTTTTGGCCCCAAATTCCTAAACATTTATGGCAATTACCCCCAAACTCAAACCCAGCTTTCCCTTTGTGATATGGAACCTTGTAGTACAATTTCAGAAAGATCCATACACTTACACACAAGTTATTGTCTTGAAACTAGAAAAATGCTTGTTTTTTGCCCCTTTTTGGCCCCTAATTCCTAAAATATTGAGGCAATTACCCCCATCATCAATCCCAGCCTTTCCTTTGTGGTATGGTACCTTGCAGTACAATTTCAGAGAGATCCATACACTTGAACACAAGTTATTGTCTGGAAACTAGAAACATGCTTATTTTTGGCCCCTTTTTGGCCCCCAATTCCTTAACGTTTCGGCAATTACTCCCAAACTCAATTCCAGCTTTCCCTTTGTGATATTGAACCTTGTAGTACAATTTCAGAAAGATCCATACACTTACACACAAGTTATTGTCATGAAACTAGAAAAATGCTTGTTTTTTGCCTTTTTTGGCCCCTAATTCCTACAATTTTGAGGCAATTACCCCAAAAATCAATATCCAGCATTCCTTTTGTGATATGGAACCTTGTGGTACAATGTCAGAGAGATCCATACACTCACACACAAGTTATGTCTGGAAGTTACAAAAATGCTTATTTTTGGCCCCTTTTTGGCCCCTAATTCCTTTACTGTTGGTACCATAACCCCCAAAATCAATCTTAACCTTCCTTTTGTGGTATTGAACCTTGTGGTAAAATTTCATAGAGATCCATTCAATAAACTAAAGTTAGAGTGCGAAAACCAATGTGTCTTCGGACGACGCCGGACGACGACGACGACGACGCCAACGTCATACCAATATACGACCACAAAAATTTTTTTGCGGTCGTATAAAAACCTTAAAATTTTCTTTTATTATATCTAATTCTCATGATTCTGTCTACTGAAATATTACAACTCTGAATAACAGGACATGTGGGGCATATGTCAAACCAAAGACACAAAAAATCAGCATGCGGTTAACTTAGTGTTCCAACAAAAGAAAGGTGTCTATGCAATATTTCATTTTCATAATCCACCCTACCAAGTCTAAAAAGTTGTGATAAATACTACATGTTTGTTCATGGAATCTAAGTTTGGTAGTCTGACTTCTGTTTTCAAGGGTTAGCAATTTTGTGGTTCAAATAACCTATCTACCTTTAAACCAAACCTATAGAAAATTTAGAATTGTCCACTGTCAGACATTGACTTGTTATTTTCCCCAATCTGACTTAACACTGTTACATATTTATACCTGAAAAATTACTAGTACTCTTGATGAACTGTATAAAAAAATGGGACGCAACAAGTAGCTAATGAGGTGCTAGTTTCAAACTGTAAGAGTAGACAGCTATAGAAAACCAAAATAGTCTTGTTAACGTTGCAGTTGCAGCCAAGAAACAAGAATTGACAACTTTTGGTGGTGCTGAAAATACTTCTTTCCATTTTCAATAGGAAATTACATTAGGACCATGAGTACAGAGAACATTTCTAGGGTTTTCTAGGATTTTAATTCAATGCAATTAAAATTTCTCAGAAAGAAAGTCCCTCAAGTGTTTTATTTAATCAGTGTCTACAAAAGGTACTGTGCACTTTTATGATGATAATAAACAAACATGCATTGAAGTTAAATTTGTCACAAACAACTGCCAGGCATCATAAAATGTCACTTTTAATGACATTAGAATGATGATCATCTGTTTTAGATTTCAGCCATGTTCCATCTACCATTTAAGCAAATCAATATGAAAATTTAAAACTATAAATGGACTCAGTGTCAACATTAATCTGTCTAATTTCCATAAAACAGACGAACATGATAAAGGCCAAAGCCACAAATGTACTCAAAGGACTTAATTTTTATGCTTCAATTTTCTAATTTATATATATATATAAGTCAGTTCCTTAGTCAGGATGTCTCTGAGGGAGGACAGGCTACTTGAGGTTTTTGACGCTCTGACTTCAATCTGAATCTCTACTTGAATAGTTTTTACGAAAATCTTTTTTTTTAGACAGGTTCTTCCAAACCCCCCATGATATACGAGTTCGAGAAACTAAAGTATTACTGGTAGCAGTACAAATTATAATGTTTAAGTTTGGGCATGCTTTTACCTCAGTTTATAATGGTTTTTTTTTCATAATGTTTAATTTATGAGATCGATGTTTCAATAGCCCCCAATTTAAGAAACTTAGACTAAACATTTTTTACACCCATCAAAGAAACGTTAGGACTTGAACTTGTTTAAGGTCTACACATTAGCAATATATGTAGCTCTCTAAGCCCCCCACTAAACCACCCTTCCCCAACCTATATCCCTATACCTGCCTCTGGACAATTTCTTATTTTCATCCTAAGACTTGCATATGCAATACCATTGAAAAATGAGTTAGGCTTTTGTATCAATTGAATAATTTGACACTATCTGAGGTTATATTTGAGTTTGAAGATCCAGCCGAATTAAATGAGTTAGGATTTTGTATCAATTCAATGTTTTGACACAATTTTCTATAGGTTAAATTTAAAGATTGGACGAAGATGAAAATTACAAATCCAGCTGTGTCGTAATGTACATGAATGCTCAGACAACTTTCTTAATAGCAAACCAACCTGCAATTAACACATAATTAAACCAACATATAAACTAAAGATGTAATTTTCTTGATAGCTACCTCTAAAGAGGCTCTTAACCATATTGCCCCTGTTTTCCAAGTGGATGGAGCAAATTATCATAGCACAATTACAGAATTATTGACTAGCATGTAAGACTGCAACTTATTATTTATTTTATTTAGCTAATTTCTTCTGATGTTTTCTTTACCACTTTCTTTTAATCAAAAATATCCAATTACGTTTTTTACGTAAACTACTTTAACAAATGAATTAATCATATGTTCTAATTTCAGTGCTTTTATCGATTTCAAAAAATATGCTGTAACAAAACAATAATGATAAGTTTCTGTTTCAATTATAAAATAATGTACACGATAAAAGAGTGCTGCATTAGATATTGATGTCTATGCATGAAGACCGAATAATTTGTGTAACAAATTTCAGTGAGGGTTATAACACCTATACTCATTTTGAGAATAAAACATGAAACATGCACTGCAAAACTTTTTAGTTTTGCTGAACTTCTTTTTCTTACAGGTAGGGCCCAAGCATCCAAGTGGTCTAAGAATTCCATCTACAATGATCACTTGCCTGTATATTTAAACCCTCCCCATCCCCCACCCTTTTGACATGTGTTTTTGTCTGACCTTAATAATTTAGGATTGCCATTTTTTTTTAATGCAGAAGGATGGTGGTGCTCTCCAGTAACTCAGGCTTAATCCACAATATAAAACTGGCCACCAGGATATAGCCAAGAGTGCTGAAAGTGGCATTAAATACCAATAATAAATTAATCAATCTAACATGTAGAAAATTTATCAAAAACTGAAAAGGATACACATCTTTCATATCTTCTATTGTTGGTGCTCTGAGAATGTCTTGAATATTGATAATCTGAAAAAGAAACAAGATCAATTTATTGCCAAAGTTATAAATCTTACGTTTTGCCCAAATACAAGCTGTTTACAAATTTATTTTGGTACCATATCAACATGTTTACTACATGTATTAAAAATCCATCAGAATATAACTTCAACCCCTCCACTGTTACCCCCAAATACAGAAGGAAATCATCACACAGCTAGTAGCTGCATATTTTAAATCTGATTTAAAGCATCTTATTGATTAAGATTTTCTTTCTTGCATTTATGGCACCCTCGTCCCCCATTGCCAGGGTAACGGCAGCTATTTTGAAAATTACAAAGTCAAAGAGCGCATTTACACATGCCAATTAACATTGTTGTAAAGTTTCATTAAGTTTGGAGCATTTTGAAATTTTGGACATTTTTGCTGTTTCCATGGTAACGGCGGCCATCTTGAAAATGCCATACCCCGATTGCAAATCTGCACATGCTCGTTAACATTTCTGTATAGGTCTGACCATCATCAATCTGAACAGTACCTTGATTACTCTTTCTCATTAAAGCTTTTTTATGAAGTAACTTAATTAGTTAAATGTTGAGCTAAATAAACTGTTGACACAGAGATATGTCTCATCTGTCTGCAGAAAATTCAAAAAAAGACAATCTGATAGACAGCAACATTGCAACAATTCAAAATTGCTAGACCATGACCTAGGAGGCAGGACCTTGAAATAGTCATCAAACTTATTTGTACTGATAGTAATGCAACTTTATAGAAAACATCATTGCTCTATCACAATTAGTTCCTATCAAACTAACTTAAGCAGAAAACTTAACATTGAAAATTGCTTATATTAATTGAAAGTGACTGGACAATGCCCTATGGGGCAGGGCCTCTAAAGAGCTGACAAACTGATATGTACTGATAGGAATGCAACTTTATAGAAAATATATTTGATCTATCACAAGTGGTTCCTATCAAACTGACATAATCACAAAACTTAACAATTGTTGACACATCCTCCGGTACCGTCGCCGGTAAAGCAATACATATGGGTCAGTCCATTCACACAGTGCTTTAGTGGTATAGCAGGGAAAACATATAATATTCTTTTATAAGGAGCAATTAAATGCTACAAAATGGGCAAACATGTTGCTAATATAATGAAAAGGTAGTATGAATAATTATATTTTGGTTGGTTGTCAACTTTTTTTTATAATAAAGATTATATTTCAAAAAGGCCTCATTTTTACCCTTTTAAAATGGGACAATTAATACATCACCAAGTATCAGATGAAAAACAAATATGTTGAAAAAATATAGGGTGAATGGTTTTTATTCATTTCAGTTCTTAATAGTGTATTTTTTTGTCTTAAACTACTTGTTTTGTGAATTTGATTTGTGAAAAAGGGTGATTTTTTACATTTCTATATGCTGTTCATATGTGATTACATTCCGTCAAATTTACATTTACAGAAAAATTTTCATAATGCACACAACAGCTGTCAGTTGAAAGTTAATGTGTATGAAAACAAAGACGTTTATAGTTGACCTATTTGTATTTAGATTATATTGCCGCTGTTATTTCTTGTATGAGGAAAAAAAAGAAAGAAAAACATTTCTTTCGAATGTCCGTCAACATCAAGGACAACGAACGTGCACATTACTTTCATTTTTATCCACTATTTACACAAGTCATTATTTAGGACAATGGCTTATATCGGAAGTTATCATCCTTGCCTCATTCTGGATACGATTATGACAACGTAGGGTAGCAGAATCTTCCGAGGTTTGCCGATTGTACTTTGTCTGTCAACACTTCACAGCATTATAACATATGAACAATTTATCACGAACGTACACAAAATCGAGAAGGAATTGTCTTATACCGGTTTCTATATCCTGTAAAAATATGTAGTTCTTGAAAACAAAGAATATACGTCTGTTGCCAAATACCAAAGTACGCTAAGACCAACGAGGACCTCATTAGCGGATGTGCACGATTGTGATTTGACTGTTTGACAGTTTTTTCGTTTGTGATTCTTGACTATAATATTTAAAGTCAAACATCCCAATTGTTTTAGACTGTATATGTTACTGCCAATTTCGGGATACGTGCAGAAAATTCTTTTTGATAGTTTTTTTTAACTTGGTGTTGATTCCTCGTCTGTAACTTGGAATTTCGATCAGTACCGAAAAATGTGTAAATAATTTGTTATCACTTAATAGTAACATATGTGATGATGGAACTATTTTTATGTGAACATACACTAAGGTCTGGTGCTGTCAAAAATCATGTATGAACATATGATGATTATCGTATCCCGATGGTACTTACAAATAGAAATATTTGTTTCTTTGGTTCATAAATAAAATTTTAAAAAAATTTATTGAATCTTGACTTTATTTTCAACTTTATTCATGTAACTAAAAGCAATGCACATATGTGATGTTGTCAAAATTCACACATGTTATTGATAAAATAAAATTGTTTAAACAGACCATTTGTTGCCATATAAAAATAAGATGTGGCATATATGATTGCCAATATGACAACTCTCCACCAAAGACCAAATGGTGTTGAAGTTAATAGCAATTATAGTTTACCCTACAGCTTCAACACAGAGCAAAAGCCCACACCGCATAGCAAGGTGCAAAGGGACCCAAAATGATAAAGTTTAAAAAAAATTCAAATGAAAAAACCAATGGCCTGATTTATGTACAAAACTATAAACAAAAACAAAAATTTGATAAACCGCAAGTTGATATTGAAGGTCGGTTGAGAACTAAACTTTAAGACAAAAAAGATGATTTCAGCTTCCAAATTGTGAACTTTCCATTTCTATGTAGCAACATTCCAGCAGCGCCCGCATTTGAAGACCATATCTCCCAGTTGATACGATATTCCAGAGCTTGCATTTCCTATCATGACTTCCTTGATAGAGGGTTGCTGCTTACAAGGAAGCTATTAAAGCAAGAGTTCCAAAAGGTGAAGTTGAAATTATTCCTTGGAAAATTGTACGGTCACCCTCATGAGTTGTAGACCGTTATGGAATATCTGTTTCACAGATGACGACAGTTATGTTTCAAATGTCATTACCACACTTTTTTCATGAATGTCACCTACCGAATTAGACTTATCACCGGGCTTCTACTTACATGAGCTACACAACGGATACCACATGTGGAGCAGTATCTGCTTACCCTTTGGAAGCGCCCGAGATCACCCCCGTTTTTGGTTGGATTCATGTTGCTTAGTCTTTAGTTTTTTATGTTGTGTTTTGTAGACTGTTGTTTTGTTTTTGAACTTCTTTCGTTTTTTGCTATGTCATTGTCAGTTTGTTTTTATTGTCAGTTTGTTTTTTGCCATGTCATTGTCAGTTTGTTTTTTGCCATGTCATTGTCAGTTTGTTTTTTGCCATGTCATTGTCAGTTTGTTTTTTGCTATGTCATTGTCAGTTTGTTTTTTGCCATGTCATTGTCAGTTTGTTTTTTGCTATGTCATTGTCAGTTTGTTTTCGGCTTATGAGTTTGACTCTTCCTTTGGTATCTTCCGCCTCTCTATTATACTGATCAAAACGTTTGCTACAAGATTAGGTTTCTCAATTAGGTTCTTACACTGTTGACAATATTGAAAGTATTTTAGTTCATAGCAGGAAAATGCTCCTCCGATTACCACATTCTTATATCATGTACATTGTGTTTCATTTGCATTGATTTTTCCTGTTTGTGTATAATTTATCAAATTTCAGAATGGGGCCTCTTATAATACTGTAGAATGGAAGTGGAACATCATAAATATTGTCTCACAGTGATATTAAATACTAGATTATAATAAATATGCATTTAATATTGAATTGCAGAAACTATTAATCCTAGGATAAATATCTAAACTTAATTAATTAGCATTTACAATTAAACTGAATCTAGAAAAAATCAAAAGCTAAATACAAATGTTGTAAAAAGTCACATATGTTATACCAGATGCCAAAATGTCAAGTCACATATGTTGGAAAAAAATAGTTTTGTTTCCTTTTTCCTTCATAATTTCATTAAACCTGTGTTACAAATATAATTTCCATTACATTTGTAAAATATAAATTGTCAGTTTATGGCAATACTTTTGGGAGGATTTTTTTACAAATAATAAATCAATTGCCAAAATATCAATCAGATATGCTATAATAGAGAAATAAAAAAAAATCATTGTCCCATCTTCGTTTGGTTAATTGTTGCAATTTAAATGACATCTACTTTTGTTTCTTAGCATTGTTGACACTGCTTTCAAAGTGAAGAAGATTTCATAACTTATATTTTTTTAAATGAATATTGGACATGTCACATATGTTACAAATGTTTATTGGTAAAAGAAGGCGTCCAGAATCAATTTTATAATAGTCAAACTATCTTCTGTTGTATTTTTGTGGATGCTTTGGTATATATCCTCTTTCTGAATCAATTTTTTTTTTCAACCTGTGTCACATTCTAAAATATAACTATGATGTCCCATTTTATGTCATGGCTTAATGGACAGACCCATATGTCTTGCTTTCCCTGACTTTGAAGTCACAGGCATGACAAAAATATCAATTTCCATTTGATGCTCACTTTAATTGCCAGGATTCCTGTTCACTAGTAAATTTTTGGAAAACAGTGCATTGTGCAGCACACAAACATTTTTTTCTTCCTCTTACTATTGCTTACTGCTTTCAAATCATTTACATATTTACAAAAATTGTCCAGACAGTAATATTTTATTATAATTTTTCTTTAGGCAATATCAATTCCTTACTTATTTAGGTTTGTTCAAAATGTCAAAGTAACACTAATTCAATACAAGTCTTATATAATCTATCTCTATACCTCACTAATTCAATACAAGTCTTATATCTATCTGTATATATATCTATTCCAAATGAAACTTGATTAAAATAAATATAGATTTTTCCCCTTCATTTTGACATAATTGTCTTTCAAACAAACTTGTCTGTTCACTTTCAAATGATGTCAATATAGGGTTAATTGATTTC